TAAAAGAATCTGAAGAATGTCTCTCCTGTATCAAACTACTGCTTCATTACAGCATTCCTGCTGCACTTCTTCCACATCATCCCACGAGATGGATGAGATGTTTCTAAGGGAATATAGATATAATTACAGCACTCTTAGAACCACACAGAGGTCTCAGTTAAAAATGAAAATGTATTTCCTCCCCTTTCCATACTGCAGAAATCAAACAGTTCTGGGAGCAGAGAAGATGGGGATTCGTCAAGGGGACATCAAGGAGGAAAGCACCCGATGCCATCAGCTCCTTTAAAAGCATGTATGTGACCAAATCATAGAAAACACCTCAGTAAAGGCACACAGCAAAAAGCCAATTCATTTTGCTGTAAGACATAACCTTACACCAGTCAGTAGTAGCACTTATACTGCACTAGAAATAAATACTCACTAAAGATAAGCAGCTGAGGTCTCTACATCACTGTATACACATATGTACCAGAAATAATAAAAGTAGTAATATTCCACCAGGAGACCTAAAAAAGCCCATCAGGAGCAGCAAGCAGTGCTGGCTCAGAGCTCCTGTTGATGTTTTTGAGTTGTGAAGTGGAAATAGAGGCGCAATTGTTTTATTCATGTAATGAAATATAATAACAACAAGCAGAAAGCCATCCTCAGGAGATGCATGCATCAGGTGTCAGAAGCTGTTAAGCTTTAAAAGATCAAAAACACTGTTTGTTCTGGAAACTGCTCTCTAGCTGAGGTCGTTCACTTTCCATCCGCTAACCCTCACCCAGGCTGTATGTGTGTACATCACAGACACACACAGCCAGACTCCAAAAGACAGACATACAAGAAGTGCCTTGTTGTGACAGCTTAGGAAGCAGAGGTCCACAATAAAACGTGCATCCCACAGATGTGCTACAAACTGCTGATTATGTGATAAACTCTAATCCATAACGGCTACCTCATGACAAGCAATCCTTCCTAACACACTCAGAAATTTGCTTTCTATTAGGTAACCAATTATCTCACAGACTTCAGAAGCAAAATGCTGTTCTCACAAAACCGTACCACGTTTCTGTTTGCCCCACACACAGCACAACTCCGTCCTTAAGGGATTGGATTTCCTTTGGTTTAGGGTTTGTTGTTGAGATTAGCAATTCAAACCAAACTTCTGCATTTTAGAAAGGATATTCTGAGATACACAAGAAAAAGAATCCGCTCTATTTTCAGACTTGAATGCAAGGTTGGGGTCCTGGACACTGCTCAGACCCTTTTCAGTAGCAACAGGAATGCCATTATATCGTGACAGTAGTATCAGCTAGCAAGGCAAGAGAGCAAACCTGTGCTCCAACCTATACAATGCACTTTTAATGTTAAATGACATTGAAGTTTGTTTTACAGAGGGGATCCAACTTTCTGAGGAAAAGAAAAACACCACCATAAAGCATTTAAGAACTTTAAATCACATTTTTAACCAGGCAGAACTTCCAGCTCCATCCATTTTTAAGGCGACACATGCACAAAGCATCCGATACAGTTCAGTTCCATCTCCTAACTCCTCCTGGTCCCAGACAGCCCACTACACAGAACTGGGAGCCCAATGCCTACAGCACTGCAGCTACTTAAGGACGCCACACAGACCTGAGAGCTTCAGCTCTGGAGAGTAAACACTGTCCACTGAAGTCTTCTATGCAAACCTGCAGGGCAGGGCAGAGTTTTTTCAAACAATCACAGCTGTACCACAGTTAGTGACCAACGGAGATCTATGGAGATCAAAGCAGCCTCAATTGCTTCAATTCCAAACTACCCTTCCATCAGCAAGTGTTAAGAACAGAGAGATGTACCTCTACTGATCTGTGCAGGTAGCAGTTCATTACCTACACAGGTGTTCAGCATGTTTCTTTTTCAAGCAGTGGCCATTCATTTTAACAAAGCATATGCTAGGCTGATTTTATTGGTCATATAAAATTCACAGGTCATCCCAGATGCAGGATCAAGAACAGATGGTACTTTGGAGCAGAGTGACTACAGTACTGAAAACTGCATGCACATCACAGCACAGCCATAGTGTGGTACTGCAGCCCCTGCAGAGCTTTGTTTTGGACAATTCCTTTTTTGCTCATCCAGATTTTAAAAAGAACATTCAAGTTTTCTTAAAACTACTGCACTTTATTCAGCTTCAACAGTAAACACACTGCTCTCATGCCGTTTGTCACAGGTGGAACCAGCAATCCTCTGTGGCCTTTCAGTTTAGGAAGGAATGAAGTTAATTTCAGACACCTGCACTCCTGAACTAAGCTGCAAACTAAGGAACAGCAAACACGGGAACTTGATCTCTTCTTCCCTAAAAGCACTCCAGAGTGACTTAAATAGTCTAAAGCTTTTTTGCATGCCAGCTACACACCTTCATTTTGTCTTAGTTTTCTATGCAGTTATCTCAGTTATCTCTGTGCAGAGGAGCCCATCTAGAGGGCACGTATTTACTAAATATTAAATACATAATCAAAAATCTACCAACAGATGTCTTCCGTTTACTATGGAAAGCACACAAAATCTTTCTGAATATATACCTTTTGTTTCTTTAATGCCATCCAACACAGATCTGTACATCCACCCACATTCCATGGTGCACCCCAGTACTACTGCTGCCTATTAAACCATTGCTTACATGAGCCCCTGCAATGTTCCAGCACTGTCACAACGAAGTTCTCACTGCCTTGAGACGAGGTAAGAGCAGGGCAAGGCCCAGCTCCTCGACGTGCTCACAACATTCTATGGGAGGCCTGTGGAAGGTAACACAGGTGACACGCTGCAGAGATACACGTTAGGTAGCAATACTCCCCAGCATAGGTTCTATTTCTGGGATCTGCTTTTTATGCTAAGACATCAGTCGTCCAAGAGGAGAGCTACACACAGATAATCAAGCAGCACGCTTCAGCACAATTCTCAACGTCAAGCTATTGCTTATCAAAGCTGCCAGATTTCACAACCAAAGCAGTAACTTTACAAATATATATTCTTCCTATTACCAACAGCTTCTTTCATGACACAGAACATGAAAAATACCAGAGTTACACCTGATGAGCAAATCTTCATCCCTCCAACCACATAACAAAGCACATCACAGAAGTGAATTTAACTGCTTCTTTCAAAACCAGCTGGTCCCTAAATAAGGCTACTAAGGCAGTCCATCCTCAGAGCCCAGCTCACACACCCAGACAGAAGACACAGAACACAGCACTTCAATTTGTTTGCTAAAAGGAAAGCTGGGAGCTCCCAGGGAAGCTCAAGGATGACAGTCCAACGTGGTCTTAGACTGCAAATAAGGAAACAAGAACCATCCAGCTCTGTGAACTGAACTACAACCAACCACCTGAAGCTGTTCTGATGAGCTGGTACTTCACCAACTGCAGCCTTTCACAAGTACTTCTCTCAAGTGTCACACGCTTTCAATAGCAACAGCCTAATGAACTAAGATTAAAAAAACCCACAATATAAATGCAAATAGCAAATCACTTGGAACCTAAGCCACGGAGAACCAGTTTCACTGTTGAAGAACCACAAGTATCACAACCAAGAGGAAACTCTGCTCTTCATTTAAATCCCAATGATATCAAAAAGTTGCCCTATTCACTCATGCTTAAGCAGGTAATGAATTTAGCTGACACTTATTATTTCTGATAGCAATGAGAAAGATGCTGCAACTAAAATCAGAGTCAGGTTAGGCTGACATTCAAGACTGACAATACCTTGAATTTTCATGCACAATCTTCCAGCCCAGTGGCACAATTACATGCCTATCTTGCACACCTGGAGCAAATCAAGGCCAGCTTTTAAGACACAGACCCACACAGCATCAGCATTAAAGACTAAGTGCTCAGAAACCTGAAGTCAAAATAACTTTGCACTTACAAATCCATGTCCCGTATCATACATACTCTCACTCAAGCACATAAGGAATTCAATTCTTTATTTGATATCCATAAACCCATAAACGTTGCTATTCTATATTTCTATGCAGGAAGGCAGTTCTCCCCTAAAACATTATGCTTTTTAATAAACAACAAACTTTAATTCTATTGCGTGAAAGGGCTACAAATATACATTTGTTAATCAAGCAGACTACACAAATATTTTTGCTTTACAACTGGCACCTGGGTTACCGGTACACTTAGCTGGCTCATTTTTCATAGCACTTTGCCCAAACAGATTATCACTCTTTCAAATATTATGGGCAATTGCAATTATGAGGGAAAAAAAAAGTGTGCTGAGACAAGTATTGCAATCTTTTTGTTATTTTTGTTGCCCAGTCAACACTCACAGAGCCCACCTTTATTCACATGCAGGTTGCATTTTGCTCTACACCAGTCATCTAACGGCATCAATTAACTTTCAGGTCTGGTACAAGCATTAGCAAAGCATTCCTCGTGCTGCAGGCTGCCATCCTCCGGTAGGTGGAGCTGCCAGGGATCTCGGGGAACTTTAACGTAGGACAATTGTTCAGTGAAGTCCGTTAACTATGAGAACAGTGTGCATTTAATAAGGAGATAAATGCTGACCCTTTCCTGAAAGGAACTGTACAGAGACAAACCAATAAGAAGACTTGAAACTAAGCAATCGGAAATTCGGAACATTTTATATGAATGAAGCACATGCTTAACACAAACTATTTCTTCAAAACACGGTACATACGCTGATGGAAAAGTCCTATAGAAAAAAACCAACTATGTCAGCACGTCAAAGCGCCCGGTACAAGATGGTGGATGCACACAAACTGCAAAGTGAAAACGAGTATTTAAAGACAGACCATATCCAAGGGCTGAGACTTCAACAATTTCTCCGCCGAATGTTTGGGAACCGATAAATCCAGCGGGGGGAGCAAAAAAGTCAGTCAGAACCTTTACTGACAACAAAATACGGACTTTAAGTACACAGAGATTTAAAAGCAGAGCAACACTTAAAACCGAGAAAAGCCATAAACCGTACGGAATGGATCCTAGGAAAAAAAATTAGACATGTAAAGATCAATGAACACAATGATTTATTTAAAAAATAAAAAAAACGTAAAAACGACTTTTTTTTTTTTCCTCCTTTACAGAAACGTTAACTTCAGTCATGGGATCCGAGTAGGCTTTGTAGAAAAAAACGTAGTAGCCAGGTATCGAGTCCTTACAACAAAGGAATTCCCCACAGCCCTCCCCGGTTGTTACTCCAGATCGGCAAGACGCTTCCCACCCCGTACCCCCCAAAAAAAGCAAATTAAAACAAGACATTTTTCGTTGCTAGTATAAAAACGACCGAGGTCCAAGTAATAATAAAAAAATAGAGTCCATCAATGACTGTAACACAAAGTATGTGTGTGTGTGGGGCCCGGTCCGTCTTCAGAGAGAAAGAAGCGGCACGGGCGGCAGAGGCGGCCCCCAGGGGGCATTTAGGAGCTGCTCCCCCAGCGGGGAGGCATTTAAAAGGAGCCGCCCTCCGGCGGGCGAGGAAGAAACCGTCGAGAAGCCGCCCCGGCCCAACGGGTTCGGGCGTTCCGGCTCAGAACGAGCCGCCCCCGTACCCTCCCCCGCCGTAGCCTCCTCTGTACGGTCCACTGTTACTGCGGCCCCCCCAGCCGCCGCCCCCTCCGCCCCCTCCTCCGCCGCTCTTCATGGGGCCGTACGAGGACTGGTGCTGGCTGTAGCTGCCGAACCCGCCGTACCCGTTGCCGTAGTCGCCGCCTCCCCCGCTGCCGCCGTACGAGCCGCCGCCGTAGCCGCCGTAGCCGCCGCCGCCCCCTCCGCCGTAGCCGCCGTAGCCGCCGTAGCCGCCGCCTCCCTTGGACAGCCCGTTGTGGTCCCGGTTACCGGAGCCGCCGCCGCCCCGACCCCGTCCTCCTCCCCGGCCGCCCCGCGAGGGCCGCGCGGAGCCGCCGCCGCCCGCCTGGATGTCCTCCTTGGGCACGGCCTTTTTCACCTCCACGCGGTGGCCCTGGATCGGGTGGAACTTCACCACGGCCGCTTTGTCGGCCGCGTCGTGGTTCTGGAAGTAGACGAAGCCGAAGCCGCGCTTCTTGCCGCTCTGCTTGTCGGCGATGATCTCGGCCTTCTCCACCGGGCCGAACTGGCTGAAGTGCTGCACCAGATCCCCTTCGCCCACGTCCCCTTTCAGGCCGCCCACGAACAGCTTCTTCACCTTCGCGTGGGCGCCGGGTTTGGCCGAGTCCTCGCGGGACACGGCGCGCTTCAGCTCCACTGAGTTCCCGTCCACGGCGTGAGGAGAGGCGGCCATGGCGGCGTCCGCCTCCTCCACCGCCGAGTACGTGACGAAACCGAAGCAGCGGGAGCGCTTGGTCTGCGGGTTGAGCACCACCACGCAGTCGGTCAGCGTGCCATAGGCCGCGAAGTGCTCCCGCAGCCCGGCCTCCGTGGTCTGCACGTTGAGGCCGCCGATGAACAGCTTGCAGAGCTGCGAGTTCTCCATGCCGGTGCCGCGCCCGGGCCTGGCGCCGAGACTCCTCCTCCCGTCGGGGGGCAGCGCCGAAGCCTCGTTCCCCCCCTTTTCCGTTCTGCCGCTTCTTTCCCTCCTCTCTCGCTGCGAGCGGCGCGGCTTCACGGCCCCCGGTGGCTCCCGAGGCCCAGCCCGAGGCCTTGGCTTCGCCTCGCCTGCCCGGCACGAGGCGCGGGGCGTCCCGGCCGCCGCGGAGAGGGGAGCGGGGGTGGGGGAAAACACGGACGCGCACAAAATGGCGGCCGCTGCTGCTCGGGAGCTCGGCCGGCTACTGGTGCCCACACAAAGGGGGCGCCGGGAGCCCCGCCCCCCGCGCACGCCCCCCGCGCCCGCGCGGCCAATAGGAACGCGCGGTTGGAACCGCCCGCGACTGATCTGCGGGGGCGGAGACTCGGGCGCGATCGACGGGCGCGGCGACCAATCAGAAAGAGAGACCTCCGCCGCGCGGCGGCGAAGGGACTGGTGCTCGGCGGTGACGGACGCGGCCGGCAGCCAACGGAGCGGCTCGGTGACGGCCTCCGGTGCCGAGCATCCTCTTCGCGCGCCGAGAGCGGGGAGGAGGAGGGGCCGGCCCGCGCTGCGCTGCTGCGCCAACCCCGCGGACGGGAGCCAATGGGCTCCTCTCGCCCGGCGCGCGCTTTCTCCCCGGCGGCCCCGCCCCCCGCGGGCGGGAGCAGCGGGCGGAGGGGTCGGCTCGCGCGGGAGCGTTTGAAACGCCGTGACCGTTGGGAGGCTGCGGGGCGCCCCTGCCTCAGCGCTCCGACGGGCTGCAGGCTGAGCGGGCACTGAGGGAGCAGCTTGTGGCGTCCGGCTCCCATCCGCGCGCCTCGAGTCGCTCCCTGGCTGTCTCCCCTCGTTTGTGCCCGTTCTTAACAGCGTGCTCGCAGCCGCTCCATCTCTAAAGCAGCTTCTTCCTTTCTCCTCTTGTTTCCGTCCTCACTCCCTCTCTCCAGCCCTATCAGTGCCTCCTCGCTCCTACATCTTCACTTAGAAAGGTGTTAGGAGCTGCTCAGTGGCATGCAAACCCTGTGTACCACTGTTACTCCAATCCCTGTTTTCTATTCCTCAGCTTTTTCAGCCCTATGTCCTGAGGAGCAGATCTATCTATCCTCATCTCTGATGCGAATTGCGTAAGCTTTTTCCAAGATCATTCTCTAGGGCGTTGTTCTCTGTGCAATTCCCTCCACTAAACACCACAGCAACTTAAGAATATTTCTGACCACTGCAGTGTGTCAAACGCTAAGGATCGGAACCTCAATATAAACAGTTCAACTTGCAAAAGCCTCCTCTTGAAGTTCCTCATACAATGCCTGCTTTATATCCCAGTTCTTGGCTTCCCAAAGCCGGTGGTGCCGTTTCATCCCCCGCACCATCCAAGCACATGGGTACCATCCTCTCTTATCACTTATTGTAAAAACCATGTAGCCCTTCCCAAGCTAAACCCTAAGTAGAAAATCACCCATGAGAAAAAACTTTATAGACCGTTAATAATTAGCAGTGAAAGGGAAGAAAAATTACAGAGAGCTAATTATGGCCACAGTGGATAACGAGGAAAACAAGCCTTTGTTATGGCTCACTTTGCTCCCCGAAAACAAGACAGACAAGCAGGCCAAGGAAGAGATCACAGAGGGAAGTCACTGCTTCTTTCAGGAGGAGGAGATGAGAGCCTTAAAATGTGAACAAATCAGCAGGCAAAATCAACAGCTGGCTCAATTCAGGCATAACCCAGACACTTTCTCTTTTGCACTTCTGTCTGATCGATTGATGACATGAAAACAAAATAGGAAAACCCTTTAAACATAAACAGATCCATCTCTTACAGATAGAAGTGCCTCCTCTGGTTCTGCAGACAGACCTAACTTCATTTGTCCTGCTGTGCTCCTGCGCGCTGCCCACTGCCACCCACCAGGAATGTGATTCCACACATCTCATGTATTTGCCCCAAATCCTTTTGGAGTTCAGTCCCTGCACTCAGAGGGCTGCACATCCATATGCCTACCCTCTTACCACCGGGCTCTGGCAATGCACGGATTCCTAAGCAGCCAACCACTAACTTCTCCTGGCCATCACACTGCTCTTCGTACCTCCCAGTTCTCCCAAGTCACCTTGGTTACTCCAACCAGACCTCTCCAATTCCCATAGGACTCCTGCTTTCCTCCATCAGTGCACCACGTCCCTTGCTATACACGTTCGTATGAACTCTGTGCCTTTAAGTTGTTTAGTTTGATATTTTAGTTATTAGAATATTAGAAAGAAGAAAAAAATTCACTGTTATCAGGCATTCGTTATTCCAGTAGTAGGCACACTATGGGGATCCACAAGAGGGCATCACTGGTTAAGAGATCACACAACGGGAATTAGCAGAGCACCTTTCAGGCGCAGAGCTTCCCACCTTACAGCGTGTGCTCGGTAAGAGCTGATAAAAACGCACCACTCGTGAAACCGTTATAGAATCTTTCATCACTAAAGAAATGTATTTCTGCGATTCCGGTCGATGGGTCCAAATTTCTAAGACTGAAAAGGAATACTGAAGTTTTGGAAAAGAGCTTCATGGATAATACAACAATATTAAGTCTTTCAAGCTATAATGTCGCTTTAATATATTAAATAGTAAAACTCATCCCCTTTAATTTCTTTCAATCCCTTTAGTATCATTTTTATCAGTGTTGTTGGCTTCCATAACCAAAAGGTGTTGTTCATTCCTTATTAAAAAGAATTTAAGCACATCCATGGGATATCTTATGAACTTCATTACACCTGTTTTTATGAGTGTAATGCAGACCTCTAGACAGAGGTCTAGTTTCACCTTCCAGCAGACAGAACGCGTTTTGGAACCCACAGGATTCCTTCATACAGACGGGTGGAGCAGGGAGTTCTGCACTGACATTATGCTCTTTGAAGACCATATCAACATCATCTTGATGTATCCCGGCTATATACAGACCTCATTCTAAATTCTTCTAAATGTGCACAGGCAGAAGTGGTCTGGAATTGTAATTTCCCAGATCACCCGGAGATCTACACACACTCAGCAAGGGCCTTCAGACTACTCAAGTCACAGGGATCTCCGTAAGACTGTAAGACTCTTAGAAGCTTCTCTCCCACTAACTCAGCACTCCAGGCACGCTGCAACTGTGCAGTTCACAGGAAGAAATCTTAGATAAAACACGCACCAGCAACAGAAACTTCCCCATCCTGGCCTTTTGATTAAGCTGTAACTGTGAAGAGCTTCATGAAAGAGATACAACCTTCCTTGAGAAAACTACTGCTTGTCCTTTTTTTTTTTTTTTAACAAGATATTTGTCTTTCATCCTGTTCTGCTTTTTGTACCTTAATCTGCAGAAATATTAAGACTGTGATCTTTTTTCTGAGACTGTCATGAATTACCACTGGTTGCAATGGGGCTTCCATGGAAAAAGACCGATTAAAATGCACTGAGAGGAAACTAAAGAGTCTTTTGCCTATCTAAGGTGTGAACAGGGGACAATCCTTGGGATAGAACTTTCTGCTCCATGCAAATTCAGATGAGGAATAAAACACTTTACCCCTCTGCTTTAATTACTTAATGCAAAACAAGAAAAAAGGTAACTACAGAATAACCCACAAGAATGGTTTATTCAGCAAGTACTATCAAAAGCTCACCTTCCTGAACAAAATCTTCCCTGAGCACTTTATAAGGGAACTGTGCTGAAAGAAAGAAACTCATCTCTGTGAAGGGTAAGGGGTAAAGTCATCAGATCATGGTAATCGGATCCTCTTCTTTGGATTTATATTACTATTTTTCTTTAACTACTGCCCTCCCCTTTCCTGTCTGAAGCTCAGTTTCTCTCCCCTTTCATCTTTCCACTCTTCTGCCAGATTTGATGATTTCTTTTCTTCTCTTTCCTATAAGTTTATGTAAGAGCTGGTCATAACTTGGAGTGATGGGATGAAAATACATCAGGGAGAGACGGTCTGAAAAGAAAGAAAAAAGCATAAAGGATGAAAGAGTCTCTAGCAATGCTGAGACAGATGTGAAAGGGCAGATTATTCACTAGATCTTGGACAATGATAGACCAGAATCATAAGTTTTGCATAAGGAAGACCAAGCCTGGGGCCAACCGCAATTTTGGTCATGTTCAGATCTTCTAAACCTGCAACCCTTTCTTTATGTGCTTCGTGGTTAAATTAAAATCTCCTAGATTTCTTTTTTCCCTCATCTATTCCTAGGCCACATCTATTTCTTGCTCCATAGAACCTTCACTGGCTACTTTCTTTGTCTTACTTTTGCATGACTGACGTTTAGCTTTGTTTGAACACAGCAGGGGCAGCTATGCTGTGAAGCTCAATATGTACCTGCCTGAAATCAGCTGTAAGATATCCATCCATGTCATTAAAGACATTTTAAAATGAGGAGGTGTACAAGAAGTAAGGCTTTGTAGACCCCCCAAAAATGGAGGAAAATAGGAACAGGCTGTGATGAAAAAAGTTTCTTTTGATTACTTATGTATTTCTTAATTAATAATTAGGACTGTAAAAACATTCATGGCATGAGAACGGCAGGGTTTGGTGCTCACAGTGTTGTTATAAAAAGATTGTTGACTGGGAACAAGCAAATATGTGTGCCAGTCCAATAATTCGGCCTTTGGCAGAGATCACTCTTGGAAAACATCAGCTGAGGAGTTCTGAAAAGCTACAAAGAATTGAATCAGCGTTTGGAAACGGGAAGCTATTATAAAACGTAAATCAATGCAATCACATTCCTATTTCAATTACCCATATGTCTTATCTCTTTCAGTAAGAAAAGAGAACAGTGTCTTGGCTGACCCAAACAATAAAGATGCTAACCTTTCAGCCAGAGAGTGCATCAGCCTCCATCTCAGCTGTACGCCAACTGAAGGTCCAGAAATGAGATGAAAGTTCATGGCATGATACAATTTTTAAAATGAACGTGCTATACGTAACTCATTTAAAGACGAAGTAGATTTTAAAGTGGTGACTTTTCATTCTAGGAATGACCTAATTGAGAGGTAATGACCAGAACAAGCAATCAAGGATATTGCTCAGCGATTCTTTAGAACTATGCAATAAAAGGGAGTGAAACCTAAATGCCATATAGACTTGTGAGTGAATTTTTGTGACAATTTTTCTCCAATTAGGAAAAACAACAAATTAAGGATCAGTGTCTCAACTGATAGATACACATCAATCCTTCTTTATCTGCAGGGGCTTTGGAGAAAAGTTCACAGTGCACTCTTGGTTGATTATCAGACATTGCTTTTCTGGTCAAATCATAACCTATTTGCTGAGGAGATGCTATTCAGGGCTTGATATCTCCATAAAGTAGGAAACCATGAAAGGACTGGGTTTTTCCTCCATCACAGCA